TAAGCAGACTCATCGAGAAAAAAAACAGAGAGGATCCAAACAAACACAATCAGAAATTAAAGAGGAGAGACTACAACAGATACCACAGGAATACAAAAGATTGTAAGAAATCACTAAGAAGACCTATATGCCAAGAAATTTGAAAACCAGGGTGAAATGGACAAATTTCTAGAAAAATATAATCTCCAAAAACTCAGTGAAGAAGAAGCAGAACACCTGAACAGACCAAGGGCAGCTGATGAAATTGAAGCAGTAATCAAAAAACTCCCAGTACAGAAAAGCCCTGGACTAGATGGTTTCACAGGAGAATTCTACAAAGTGTTTAAGGAAGAGCTAACCCCTATCCTTCACGGACTGTTCCAAAAAATCCAAGAAGATGGAAGACACCCAAACTGTGTTTATGAAGCCAGCATCATCGCACTCCCTAAAGCAGATAAAGACACAATAAAAAAAGAAAACTTCAGGCAAATTCATTAACGAATACAGAGGCCCAAATCCTCAACACAATATTGGCAAACTGCATTTAGCAAAACATTAAAAAGATCATACACCACAATCAAATGGGATTCATCCCAGGGATGCAAGGATGGCATAATATTTGCAAATCAATAAACATAATACAACACATAAACAAAATGAAAGGGAAAAACCACACGATCATATCAATAGATGTGGTTAAAGAATTTCATAAGGTACAGCACCCATTTATAATAAAATCCCTCGGCAAAGTAGAAATACAGAGATTTTCAACCTAATAAAGGCTATATGAGAGACCTACAGCCAACATCACACTCACTAAGCAAAAACTAAAAGCTTTCCCATTAAGATCAGGAACAAGACAAGGATGTCTGCTTTCATCACTTCTATTCAAGATGTATTGGAAGTCCTAACCACAGCAATCAGACAAGAAACAGAAATAAAAATCATCCAAATTGGAAAGGAGGAAGCAAAACTGTCATTGTATATAGATGACATGATACTATACACAGAAAATCCCACAGACTCTACCAAAAAATTACTCAACCCAGTAAGTGAATTTGGCAAAAGAGTGAGATACAAAATCAATATTCAGAAATTGAAGGCACGCTTGTACACTAGCAATAAAATATCAGAAACAGAAATCAGGGAAAAAATCCCATTTGCTACAGCAACAAGAACAATAATGTACCTAGGAATAAACCTTACTAAGCAGGTAACAGACCCGCACTCAGAAAACTATACAACACTGAAGACAGAAATTAAGGAAGACAGAAACAAACAGAAAAGTATGTACCATTTTCATGGATTGGAAGAATTAACATCATTAAAATCTCCATACTACTCAAAGCAATTTATAGATTCAACGCAATACTTATTAAAGTAATAATGACATATTCCACAGATACAGAACAGACACTTCAAAAATTTATATGGAGCCATAAATGACCCCGAATAGCTGCAGGAGTTTTGAGAAAGAAGAGCAAAGTAGGAGGGATTACAATACCTGATACCAACCTGTATTACAAGGCCATTGTACTCAAAACATGGTACTGGAATAAGAACAGACACATGGACCAATGGAACAGAACAGAGAGCCCAGAAATAAACCCAAGCCTCTACGGTCAATTATTATTCGACAAATGGAGGCAGCAGCATAAAATGGAGCAAAGATAGTCTCTTCAACAAATGGTGTTGGGAGAGTTGGAAAGCTACATACAAAAAAAAAAAGTAAAACTTCGGCACCACTTTACAACATACACAAAAATAAATTCAAGGTGGATAAAGGCATTAAATGTAATTTGTGATACCGTAAAAGTCCTAGAGGAGAACATAGGTAGGAAAATCTCAGATATTCCATGCAGCACTATTTTCACTGATATGTCCCCTAGAGCAAGGGACATAAAGGAAAGAATAAACCAATGGAATCTCATCAAAATAAAAAGCTTCTGCAGAGCCAAAGAAACAGCATTAAAATGAAAAGAGAATCAACTGTATGGAAAAAACATATTTGTCAATGATACCTCGGACAAGAGTTTCATCTCTAAAATATATAAAGAACTCACGTGACTCCACTCTAAGAAGACAAACAACTCAATTGAAAAATGGGCAAAGGACTTGAACAGACACTTCTCCAAGGATGTTAAAAGGGCCCAGAGACATATGAAAAGTTGCTCTGCATCACTAGCCATCAGAGAGATGCAAACTAAAACCATAATGAGATACCACTTCACACCACTGAGAATGGCCATGATAAGTCAAAGGACAACAACACGTGTTAGAACAGATGTGAATAAAAGGGAACTGGTTCCTAAGTATCCTGAAACACCAGTCCAAAAGAACTTATGCGCCCCAGTGATCATAGTGGCACAATTTACAATAGCCAAGTGCTGGAAGCAACCTAAGTGCCCATGAGTAAATGAATGGATCAAAAAACTAAGGTACAATTAGACTTCCAGCCAAAATGGAGGGATAGGTAGACACACTGTGCCTCCTCCCACAACCAAAAGAAGAATAACAATTTAAAAAGAAAAACCACCAGAACTGACAAAAATCAGACTGTATGGTAGTCCAACAACCAAGGAGTTAAAGAAAACACATTCATGCTAATCAGGATGCTCACAGAAATGGTTGAGTATGGTCACAAAATAGAGAAAAAAGTGATGGCTATGCAAAGTGAAAAAAAAGAAGATGCACAGGGAACCAACAGTGATGGGAAGGACACTGGAACTGAAGTCAATGGTTTGGAGAAGAAGAAAGAAATAAACATTCAACCAGAACAGAATGAAAAAACAAGGATTCAAAAAAAATGAGGAGAAGCTCAGGAACCTCCAGGATACCTTTAAATGTTCCAACATCTGGATTATAGAAATACCAGAAGGAGAAGAGGAAGAGCAAGAAATTGAAATCTTATTTGAAGAAATAATGAAGGAGAATGTCCCCAATCGGGCAAAGAAAATAATAGACTTTCAGGAAGTCTAGGAAGCTCAGAGAGTCCCAAAGAAGTCTAAGGAAGAACACACCAAGGAACATCATAATTACATTACCCAAGATTAAAGATAAGGAGAGAATCTTAAAAGCAGGAAGAGGAAAAGAGACAATTACCTAAAAAAGGAGTTCCCATAATACTGTCAGCTGATTTCTCAAAAGAGACCTTAAAGGCAAGAAGGTACTGGAAAGAAGTATTCCAAGTCATGAGAGGCCAGGACCTCCATCCAAGATTGCCATATCCAGCAAAGCTATCATTTAGAGAGGAAGGGCAGATAAAGTGTTTCTCAGATAAGGTCAAGTTAAAGGAGTTCATCATCATCAAGCTCTTATTATATGAAATGTTAAAGGGATTTATCTAAGAAAAAGAAGATAAAAAATATGAAGAGTAAAATGGCAGCAAACTCACAGATATTAACAACCACACCTAAAACAAAAACAAAGGCAAACTAAGCAAACAGCTAGATCAGGAAGAGAACAACAGAAACAGAGATCACATGGAGGGTTATCAGCAAGGGAGTGGGAGGGTGGGAGGGGGGAAAAGTACAGAGAATAAGTAGCATGGAAGGTAGACAGAAAATAGACAGGGGGAGGTTAAGAATAATATAGAAAATATAGAAGCCAAAGAACTTACATGTTGGACCCATGGACATGAACTAAAGAGGGGGCTGTGGGGGGTATGCAGGGTGGAGGGGAATAAAGGGGGGGAAATGGAACAACCATAATAGCATAATCAATAAAATATATTAACCCCCCAAAAAACCTATGGTATGTTACAAAACAAACCTGGAGTGGTACGATATACTATTACCAAAAGAACCCCCTGCACTGGATCACTACGCCCACCACCAGAGGAAAGACTTCTCTAAATGCCAGAGATTTGTTAAGAGAAAAGGAATTACTTATTTAAAGCTATACAGACTTAGAGTAGTGACCTAATGTCTTCATTAAAATATTAAAGTCCTTTAGGATACCCACAGACACACACAGTCCTTCCTTCTCCCTCTGCCCTAATCTGGGGTACTATATCTCAAGAAAAGAAGTAGATGTCCATGATTCAGGCTCCCACCACCATCAGCTGTGTCACTGCCAGGATCTCCAGTTAATCCAAAGTCATGTGGCATCTTCTCATGGCCCACAAACAAGAGTCCTTTCACCCCTTTTCTTTCAGGCAAAGTCTCTTCTGCTTCCTAAGCCATGTGGCAAAAGGGAGCCACTTGGTCCTCTCTCTCACCAAAGCTGCAGGGGTCCCCACTCTGCAAAAGCCACATGGTTCTCTCTTCACATGGCTGCCGAGTTTGGGTCTAAATCCGCAAGCCAATCTTCCTCTGCACTCCCATTTCCAACTCCTCCTACAGTCAGTTATACCTGCCAGAATTCCTGTATTTTTCCAGCTTTACTGGGCTGCCATCATGAGTCTGGGCAGGTGTGGCCTCATGTCATGGAGCCAATCTTCTCCAAGCTCTCATGCAGGAACTGTAACCAGGGGGAGCTGCCCCTCAGTTACATCTTTGGTGGAAGTCACTTCCATCCCCCTGGCTCAAAGCATAGCCACATGGTTTTCAGGAATAGGTATAAAGGACATATGGACAAAGCCACAGTGGGGTAGGATCAAGGGTGAGAAGTGGAGATGGCTGGGGTAGGGGTGGGTAGGGGGAGAAATGAAGACAACTATACTTGAACAACGGTAAAAAATGTGGGAAAAAATAAAGATAAATAAAAAGCCAAAAATGTTGCAATAAGGAGGGACTGAATCAATATATCATGTTTATAATTAGAAACAACTACATTTACAAAGAAACAGATGGTGAACTTCTGTTAAGTCAATGACTAGGAGTTTCTACTCTTGTGCTGACCATGTGGACTAGTGTTTTACAACTCAATGACTACAAAAAAGTTAAGCCAATGACTACAAGTTTCTACTCTTGCACTGATCATGTGGACTAGTGTTTTACAACTCTGTGAACCTCTTCTTGGAAGCATCTGGGAACCAGAACAGCCACCCCACCACTGCAGTAGTTTTATGACAGTAATACCTGACTTGCTTTTCATCACTGCCACCCCCAGGCGAGAGTCTCAGAAGCTGGTGAAGGACAGCTGGTCCGCAGTCTTCAAGGTCTTCTTTCAGAATGTCACTATGATTATAGGGCCTATAAAATAAAACAGGTGCTGCATGAGCTGTTTACTTAAGTACAGACAGCCAGCTTCTAGAATCTATGGTAGTTCTCTGTGGTTTATTGAAATATATCTGTAATATAATCTAGTCATAAAAATGCAGCAACTAGACTGTCTCTTGACAAACATGTAAAATGAGGCAGTTTGAAAAACTTGTTTGTGAGTATGTGGCACTTTTAAACACATCAGAGGAACTTTTAACCCTTTGAAGACTTTAATGATGTTCAAATCCACAGCTATGTATCTCATTCCATATTCCACCTGACTAACCGGAATGGTGGATAATCCTAAGAGGAGAAAAGACTCATTTTATATTGTCAATCATAACAAAGTTAGAGCTCCACAAATCATATGACATTTACTTAAATTGTCACTGCTAAGAAATTGAAAACTGCTGATTGAAGTATAGGTTACATCCTCTATTATGAATGCAGAGAAATGATTACTATTTCTCCATTTAGATCTTATTGCAACAACACTTTCTTTATTCTTAGTAAGAACAGGAAAGCATAGAAAGAGGAATTTAGCCTTCATTATTTATTTCCAGTTTACTGTGGGACTTGTAAAGTCTAACCATTTGGCTACTGTTTTAGGTTAGGTTTGTCATGGTATTACAGTAGCCTCCAGACAGATTGGTTGTCATTTCCTTTAAATAAATGCCTATTTGGGGAAAGAATGATTCTAAAAAGTTATGGGAGAAAATATTAAAGACAAAAACAGTATTTTATCTTTTGAGGACCTGATCGCACATGTAGTTGGGAATATTCAACACATACCCCCCCCAAAAAAAAAAGTGAAACAATTTATTGAACAATCTGGCTATGTGACTGATATCACAAGGATGAAAGAGAGGTGCTCTGTCCACCTACTGGAGGGTGACTGGCAAAAGTTCAAGCCCACCTCCACCCTGAAGCAGACTTTTACCCTGGACAGGAAATAAAGTAGGCTCCAAGGATTCAGGCCCTATTCTAAACTCTGGGCCACCCTGTCAGTTCTCTAGTTCCTCGATAAACCCTAAACTCTTATTTAAAGTCTAATCCTGGGTTCTCAGTGCCTTTAGGCCAGCCCCTTAGTTGGGTCCTTCCTTCAGTCTGAGCTCTGCTGCCTTCCAGGCTCCTAGCCTATGTGACTCATAGTACTTGTAAATACATTTTTCTTAGGCAATACCTGGGGCCTACTTCTTTCTGGAAGGTTTTATCTTGCCACCATTCAATTCACAGAATAACAGCCTACCCTTCAGAAGAAAAAGATAAGCCCACCAAATGTGAGCCAATTTCAGGGCAGTAAAGGAAAGCATGTAATCACTGAGAACACAATAAGGAATTGTGAGGGGGTAGAGAGACAGAAAGCTCCCTGGAGTCACAGGGGCTTGACTAAGGAGGAAGAATTTGGGAGGACAGGATTTAGACAGAAGAGAAGATAATTCAGCTAAGGAGCAGCAAAGGCAAAAGTGACAGAAAATGCACTATAGGCTGGACTTTCAGGTTTCATTTTCTCTAGGGGACAACGGTCTCAAAATGGTACGGTAATCACTGATGAAAATAGTAATGTGCTTACATAATTAACAAAATATAATGCTACTTTTTAAAAGTTTTACAAAATACATTTACTGCATTTTAATGATGGTGAAGAATCATAAGTGTTATAGTTAGTCACATCCAGAACAAAATTTTAGGAAAAAAAAAAACTGTATTTCGAAAAGAGCAACAATAAAGGGGCATCATTTGTAGAGGTGGTCCATAAGCTATAAGCTTGTTATTTAAGATAAACCCATACACAACAAGATGGGAAAGAGGCAAAGCAACCCTTCTTTGTTCCCAATTCCAATGCAAACAAACTGGTCCCAAAACTCCACTTCCTCCTCCCAGTTTGATCCTACCTTCCTTCCAAAACACAAGGCTTTTGATCTTTAAATGAACAACACATGGTCTGGATAGAAAAGTTTACTTTTAAAACTATCACTTTATCAACGTCTAGTTCTTTTTTTAACATGTAATTCTCAAGGAAATTTGTTGATTATATTTTAAAAGGGTCTTAACCCTACTTCTTAAATTTAACCAGAAGTAACAGAATACACTCATGTATGAAACACTAAGAAGACCTCAACTGCTACAAAATACAACTAAGGAACCATAGGGTACTGTTGTCAGTCAAAACTAATTCAATTTGTATAGCTTACTGGTTATCCTGAAGCAATTCAGCACCTTCACCAATAAGAGAAAACCTTCAGTGACCTCCCACCCACAGGTACACAAATACAACTGAGAAGCAGAGAGGTCACTAGAAGCTCTACCTCTATAAAGATGTAAATTAAGGTTTAAACAGTGTAAGAATTGGCTAGAGCTAATCCTTTTACAGAGGTGTAAATGGCTATTGAAAACTGAATTCCAGGCTGCTAGCTTTTGTTAAGAAGCATTACAGACAAATTTCACAGAAAAGCAATGCCAAGCCACCAAGTCCAGGACTGTTAATAGTTTCATAAAGCTGGTGTAATTTGTTTGCTTTGATATCAAATTTCCTGACCATAAATCCAAACATGAAAATATAAACCACATCAAGAATTAGTGCTTTGGGAAAATAAACTGGAAGCGACTATTTCAAACATGACACCTGATGGTTGGAACAGCTGTATGTGCTACCACAGTGAAGTCTGTATATGGGGTTTTGTTTTCCACACAAAACAGTTGTAGAAAGGACAAACATATACATAGTTAAACAGTATTTTTCTTTTAATGGGCAGTCTTACAAAACCTATGTTTTGGTGGCTACCTCAGTCCCCATTATGCAGCCCCTTGGGTGGTCCCTTACAGGGGGTCACTAGAGGGGAACACAATGCCAAAAAGAAGATAAGCAGGAGACCTGGGCACAAAGGCCAACACAGCAGGGCGGTCTGCAGCAGGCTGCAGACCAGGAGTCAGCAAACAATGCTCCTTATCTTTACCCAGGAAACAAGGACTCCTTCTCTTTACCTGAAAATATTGTGGTTAAGCTGACAGCTTGAATTATGGGCTACATTTTGTAGGGTGCTGTCCATTTGTGTTAAGGTCCTCTTTATTGTAGCAGAGGCTGCATAAGCAAAACCCTTGCTTTTTCCCCTACTTTGGCACCCAAAACAGACCTTATCATTCTATTTCATTTTAATTCTCAGAAGTATCACCCTCCCATACCACTTTGTTTGTTTTGTTTTATTTTGTTTTTCTTAGTGAGCAGCTGGAAAGGCCTGAGAGAATTTATCATACTAGTTTTTCTCTACCCTCACACAGAGATAACCAGTCTAAACCCATAAGGAGTTTTAGTAGCCAAGAATTAAATCTGTGATAGCCACAGACAGTCACTGTGAAACGGGTAAGTGTTCTTAGTCTATTTTCTCTTTGAAAACTATGGATCCCAAACTTAGCATCCAGGTTGATAAAAATCCTCCTTGGTGGGAAGGTGAAGACTAGAAAGATTTACTCTTGCTCCATGGGTTTCTTTTAAATCAGCACTCATGTGTCAACAGAGGGGTGTGGTCATTAGGGTGCTGGCTTTGCTCTCTAACCTGAGGGGCATACTACATATTTATGGAGCTAGTCACATAAAATGACCTGCTTTAAATATCTGCTGCAAAATGGAAGGTAAATTTCTTATTGTCATACAGCTTTATACCTTTCAAAAATTTGATACATCAGGCCCTGTATTTTGGAAGTTTTAAAAATACTATAGAGAGAGCGGAAGATGGTGTCGGAGTAAGAGGGAGCGGATTCTAGCTCCCGCACTCGTGGGTGAAAATCCTGGCAGATCTATAGAAAAGCAGCGCACCAATCCATCAGTTATCCAGCATTTGTGAAACTAAAAGAACAGAGACTCTGTTGGACGCTGAAACACCAGAAAGCGGCAGGTCAGTGGGGCTTTGGGGACCCGTTTAAAGACAAAGCAGCGGCGGGGGCTGGTGCCCCAGGCCAGGTGGCCCCGGTGCTGCATCTACGGCCGGGGTCCAGAACCATCGGTCTGAGACCAACACCAGAGAGGTCTACCACAGGAGCTTGGGCACCCAGCGGCTCCAGTGGCCACCAGCGTGGGCCAGCAGCTCCCCTGCTTCATGTATAAGCAAAACTGGACAACACCGGGCAGAGACCTGTCTGCTTGCCGGCTTGCATTTTTTGGGGAGGGGCACAAAGACACAGGGCTCGGTGCAACTGCAGACTCTGTGATTGCAAGCCTGGGAGGAATCCAGAGACGCATTAGCCTCTTGGGTTTGGTTGGGGACTGAGCAGGAATGAGAGACAGGATGTCCGGAAGTTTTGATCTGTTTTGTTTTTATTGAAAGTGGACTGAGGTGTTCTCCTGCCAAGGCAGATTGGCTTGTTTCCTATCCGGCCTGGCAGCGAGCCAGGGGGAAAGTGGAGCTTTTGGGGACTAGCCACACGAATGGGAAGCGCCCTGCCGGTTCTCCGGGTCCCAGAAGGTCTTAGAAGCGGAGGCCTCTGAGCCAACAACAGGGGTCTGGGAAGCCCGCTGCCGGTTACGCCAGTTCCAGAAGGACGAGCTCGCGGGCGCCGCAGGACAAGGACGCTCCCTGACGGTTTCCTGCTGGACGCATAGCCGGACTCTGGCGCGCACTGGCGCAGGGCTCTTTGAGCCGGGGCTACTGGTCCTAGCGCCAGACGGTTTCGCGCGCGAGCGGGGGCGCAGAGAACTCTAGGCTGACGCCACTAGGGTCGGGAAGAGCTGGGGCCGGTGAGGACCGGGAAGCGCTGGTTGCGCAGTCCCGGGACAGCCCGGGGGTGTGCCCGAGGTTGGCCAGGGGACCCAGTCAAACACAGGAGCAGAAGGGATACACACCACGCAGCGTGCCATGACGAGCACACAGAGTTTTAGGTCTGCGCCCCAGTTCTCAGATCGGCTCCCGGCTTCCAGTCTCCCCCCCTCGCCAAGTGTCTGG